AAAATAGTTGCCATTATTATCTATACATTGCTGCCATCTAATGGGAAGGTTATTAATGCCTTTGCGATAGAACTCCGACGATCTAGACTGCACAAACTGTGTGAAAGCATTTTGTACTGCCTCCTGGGAAGAAAACTTCTTGTCACGTAGATAATTGTCCAAATCACGAAAAAAATGGTAGTCCGTTGGAGCAAGGTCTGGTGAATACGGAGGATGACGAATGGTTTCTAACTGCAGTTCCTGAAGGGTCAAAATGGTTTCTCGTGCTGTGAGGTCTCGCGTTGTTGTGGAGCAATAATGGTGAAGATCGATTCATGAGTCGGGGCTGTTTTACTGCTAGTTTTGTCAACATGGTTCGGAGTTCGGCACAATAGACATCTGCCGTTATTGCTTGACCAGATCGGAGAAAACTATAGTGAATAACACCATGCTGAGACCAAACAGTTACCATTACCTTTTTATTGGTAAGTTTTGCTTTAGGACACTGTTGTGGCATTTGACCTGGGGTCAGCCATTGCATTTTTCTTTTCCGGTTATCATAAAGAATCCACTTTTCATCACATGTTACAATTCGATCCAATATTCCTTCATTTCTGTACCGGTTCAACAAGGCAACACAAGTTTCAACACGCGTTTCTTTCTGCAGATCAGTCAAATCATGAGGCACCCATTTTTCGTATTTTTTTATTTTATTGATTTGACGCAAGTGAGTCAATATTGGGTAAGGTAACGTTAAACCATGCCGCTAATTCCTGGGTAGTTTGACTAGGATCGGCTTCCACTATCTCTCTTAATTCATCGTTATTCACCTGTGTGGGCGGTCTTCCTCGTGGCTCGTTCTTTAAGTCGAAATTTCCATCACGAAAGCGTTTAAACCAAAATCGCACGGTGCGTTCATTAGTAGACCCCTCTCCAAACGCAGCATTGATATTGCGGGCTGTTTCTGCCGCGTTAGTTCCGCGTCGGAACTCGTATTCAAAAATCACTCGAATTTTCGCAGTATCCATCTTTCTTGTCTAAATTGAATAACAAAAACAATTGAAAGTCGATATTCAAATGTTTCAAATTTAAAAAAAAAAAATCACAGAAACCATTTGAAAAAAGTTCATTCGAAAACCTCAAACCATGAAGATTCTATGAAAATTCAAAGAACCTATTGCAATAAAATGGCAATTTCATACTTTAACCCCTAATACTAATTGTTTCTTAGCGTAATACGGCGCGTGATGGCGTGGTCGCATAGTGACAGATTGTAAAATTTTAGTTTTGTATTCGGAATTAATTTGTTATTTTTTGTCTAGTAATTTAAAGTCACGTGAATTTAAGTCTTCATGTTATCATGTTTGACGTAATTTTGATCCTGTAGCTAAATGTTCTATTTTCATAAGTAGTATAGCTCTTATGGACCTATTGCATCGGTAGATAGGACTACAATACCTACACTCGAATTTAATGGTGGAGGAGGGGGGGACCCCCTTAACCCCTCGTGAGCGGGGTGTTACGGAGCTCACCTTTCCTGAGGTATAAAATATGAGAAAGTAAATTTCATATAAAAACCTAGCAAAAATGTATAATCTGACTTGAAAACAAGTTTGGAATCGCAAAAAAATCTTCTGGCTCTCGGCTCTCGCCGGCCGATGACATAAATCAATAAATTATAAGTACACTCCATAGTACACTGCACTACTCTGCTCTCATTGTCATAACTAATGCATTTTGGTAACTTTCTAGGAATTGGCACCTAAAACTTTTTTCTTTAAAAAATTCAATTACGATGGTGTTCTAATTTTTAATTTTTATTGTTTGAATGCCACGATATTTGACTACCACAATATTAAATTATTTTTGTGAGATTACTCCACTATGTTGTTGTAAGTATTAATAAGTACAAAATGTCCTTCGATCCGGCTGGATTCGAACCAACGTCTTCCATCAAACCGTCTCAGGGAGTACTACTCACGTTCTCCGTCAGACATCCGTCCGAAACAATTACTGTCAAATATGTAATACTAAATGTGAACAGCGCGACGTATCTTTTCTGTGTTGTTCGCCAACGGTGACAGTCAGTGGGCCGAAGTAGTCCAGACCCGTGTAGGTGAACGGGCGCTGGTGATGCGCCAGTCGACAGCGTGGGTGGTCCCCGGTTGGTGGGACTATCAGCGTAGCTCTTTTGATGCGGCACTGAAGACATCGGTGTATTGTCATTTTCGTAACAGGGCGTAATCGTAGAATGCAGTAATGTTGCTTGCACTCGTTCACTGTCGCTTCGACTCCGCTGTGATTAAGTTGTCTGTGTACGTAATCTATGTACTACTTTACGGCAGGTTATTCCCGTCAAGTACTACAGGTCGTTTCTGTGAGTCGGTGATATCCGCTGCGGCGTTGATTCGCGTCTTCAGTATTATCATTCCGTTGACAAGTTCGACCGCCAGGGCGCGCAGCCGGGAGAAATATTTGTAATATATATAAATGTATATATATGTAAATTTGTTTCTCTCGCGAGTTTGGGTGTAATTTGTGGTTGTTTATGTGTGTGTCCATGACACCCGCGTTACAGGGTTATGTGTGCGTGTTGTTATTATTATAAGTAGCAGTAGAGCGCCTTGTTAAAAGTTCGTCCAAGAAATTAGGCGGCAGAATTAGGAAGCACCTATTTTTGCCGCCAAATGGTAATACCTGAGTTCCTGTTTTGAAGGGTAAGGGTGCTGGTGAAATTACAGGCACATGGGATATGTCTCAGGGTTGACGGGCGCAGTGGTAGTGGCTCTTCACACCTTTACGATTTAAAGCTCTGAGTGGCACTGCAACTGCTATGGACAAGCGTCGCTTGCCACCAGACGCACGACATGTTGGTCCCGTCATTTGGTACCATAAAAAAAGAGATCCAAACCAGTCGTTGGCGGTATAATAGCGTAAAATGAAGGAGAGCCATGTCGACATAAAGTTTGAGTTTGTTAAATGCAGTACCTACAAATTGACATTTTTATACCAACATGGGGGATAGGTATCTTGATTATGGGAATATGATTATGAAATAGAAATGAAAAGCAGTACAATTATTAATTTGAGTCACTCGTTCAAACCCGCTATGAACACAGCAATAAACACGCCAACTATTTGATGTCTTATGTTAAACAACAAGCAAACGTTTAAATTCTATGAAGAATGGCGCATGCGACTACCAGCGCTATGCAAGGTCAGTGCACCGCGAGATTATGAGAATGTTGGTGCCTCCGTGGCCGAACGTTACGATACTGGACTGCCACTCAAAGGCTTCCACGATACAGGGTTTCCCTGGTACGGGGCTATGAGTGTGTGCGCGTTATTACTATTATTACATTATTTATGACTTTCCCGCTCTTTCGGGAAAGTCATCGAATACTCGATGGGGAAAGTAAACCAATTGTACCGATGGGATGGGCGCGCGCATACACTAGCCGCGCTGCTACATTTGTTTGGAGTTACCCTACTTATACTATTTTTTAATTTTTACTATTTTAAATTTATACTTGTAGTTAAGTTAAGTTAAATTTATCATATTGATCCCTCTTTCTCTTTTGCACATTGTTGTCCACGTATGTCCTTTGTTCTCACTACCTTGGGTTGGCTGAGGAGGTCTATTTTAGATATAAGTACACCTTAGGTCACCTCAATAATTTATATTTAATTGTATTTTTTTGGTGCAATAAAGAATATTCCTATGCTATGAGCCACAGTGACAAGGGAAATGCGACATAATGTGGGGTACAACTGATCAAGCTGTAAACATCTACTACTATTTTCAGGTGCATTTGGCAATGAAGGAGCTAAAGGTATCCATTTTCAAGAAGACCACGAGAAAAAATAGGGGCAGTAGTAATGGTGAGTTTCTTTTACATTTTTTTATGTTACAGACTTAAAATATTAACGCACTCTATACACACTGGCACATTTAACGGAACAAAGAAAAGTGAGAATATATAGTCTCTGTTCTGTACTGTCTGTACTAAAAAAACCGACCTCAAAAGTCATTCATCCCCTTGTTTGCCACCCTTAGAAGTAGAATATTTCTTCAAAATTAAATGGGACCGCTACTGAGGTACACCCTTTCCAACAAAAAAAAAAGAATCATTAAAATCGGTTTACAAATGAGTTATCGCGTAACACACATAAAAAAAAGAAACAAAGTCGAATTGAGAACCTCCTTTTTTTTAGTCGGTAAAAAATAGAAACGTATGTTTGTTTTTTTTAAATAAACTAACTCAAAGCCCAACATTGACTTACAATTATATGGACGTCGGGTCCGCGCTAAAAAGTGTCCGCTCTTGTAAGGCGCTAAAATCGTATACAGAGCGAGCGCGACACTCCGCTTTAGTCTTCATTTGTTCTACTGACAGCGCGATACTGCGATGACATTAAAATTTAAATTTCGAATAGGTTGACTTGGGACATTTTTTTCGTGGTTTTTGTATTAGACCCGTCGTCTATTTATTTGTAAGTCAATGAAGCCCAAAGTGCCCTTTACAGGTCCCGTGGTCACGGCTGACTGGTTACGCGATTCACACCCGGAAAAAAATTTCATTTCCAGGGTGTAACAACCGCGAAAACTGAAGAAATCGATAAAATAGTAATGTTTTTATTTTTTAATCAACTTCAAAAAAAGGAGGAGGTTCCCAATTCGACTGTATTTTTTTGAATGTATGTTGCGCGATTATAAATAAACAAGTATTAGATATAGAATAGCAATTAAATGTTTCATGTGTCTTTTCTTTGTACAATAAAGAATATATATATAAATTAACATCTTTTAACATCGACTTTGAATGTTTATTGAAAGAATCTAAATTAAAATTAAGTCTATGTCGCTCCCTATTTTCGAAACCGGATTGCGTAAATACCCCTAACACGGTCGTAGTCTGCAACATGTATATATTTATATTGAACATATATTTATGTAAGTATGGTTTATCGTTATTTATTATTTCATAAATTGTAATGTAAGTTTTTTTATTTATTTATATAACACTGACCTTGCCTCCAAATTGTAATAAGTAGTGATCACAAAAGATAAGTTAATGGTCGCAGTGATGAAGGGCTACATAGGCCTTGTATGAAGACTCTCAAATAATAATTATCTTACTGTAATACAGCAGATTCCTCTTAGACAAACGTCTCAGAGGAATCTGCTATACTTATTATGCAATTCGTGTTACTGGATTTGGAAATTTAACCGTAATCTACGAATGACCTACGGGCATTAAAGAAATCTTAAGTAAATAACTTGTAACTTCTCTGTCCACAATATTAATGCAAAATAATGTATTGCAGGTCTCAGGTCATCCAGTTGTTTCCGCCAAAAACAAACCACACTTGACAAGAGCAGAGCCGAAGAAAATTCAACAGCGTGCACCACACTACGAGGCCAATCGAACCTCCACACACTCGACAAATCCAGCACACGAGTTACAAAACGTAAAACTCGCAACAATCATTATCAAACCAACAAACAGGTAAGACTGACAGCTCGCTCTTACCAAGAACCTTGTATATCCAGTACTGTTCAACCCACTCAAGAATCCAGTTTTAATGGAATTTTCGCTTCGGAAAACTTCTTGCATTTAGACACCTTACACAATTTGCAAAAAAGTATTAACGATATGAGAGCCCGTATAAAAAGATTAAATGAAACTATTGATTCCTTAAAGGAAAGTCAAAGCTCTGAGGATGATAATGCGACAGCAGAGGATTCCATTACAACCACGCGTAGTGCGGATGATTCCGATGTGCATATGAAGACATTGACTGACATCACTGACTTAGAAACTGATAATTTTAATGGACATACTGAACCAAATGTGAACAATATCGCTTTTCCTGTTATCGAAACTATACAACCCGCCAATTCGTACATTTCAAACTTTGACAATTTACCGCTTACTTTTGCCAATGCTCAGAGCATAAATCTTATCGATCAACATACGATCCCGAACACTGGTAATACTATTCAGGATCTGAATAATAACAATCCAAACATGACATCGTATAATTTCAGAAGCGATTTAAACCCAACATGCGCCCAAATGCATCAGTATAATTTTAACATGACTACAGATTCAGTACAACCAAACAGCAACCATACTTTTTATGCTCAGAACTATGTTAACACTAGAGGGAATAACAATACTGTATGCAGTGTTATTCCTTGTAATGTACCACCTATTTGTGCTCCACGAGTAAATACATCTTATACGTCTGCAGTCGAAAATTGTATATATCCCATAGAAAACGTTTTTCAAGGTCTGCAGAGTATACCAACAGAAGTTAACAATTATAATTGTTTGACGGCTAATTTCCAACAATTTAATAGCCAGAATATATTTGATGGGCCGAATTCAAACTCCAGTAGAACTGTGATTGGAGGTCAGTTAAACAAAATCCACGAAACTCTTCGTAACAACATAATATGTAATGCAATTAGTACCCAGACCAATGATAATCGACGAAATATACAAACTGAAACCGGCACTCAAAAGGAAACTGCAAATACTATTGCACCTACTACTAACGTTATTGCCAAATCAACACTTACAAGTAACTTTGCGTTCAATTCAGTTTCAAGTATCAGGTATGAAGAAATTTCAAGAAAAAGTTCAACTGATTCTAACCAGCTAATCATAAATGAAGACCCGATAGATTCGACAGAAGCCATGCCCGAAGACATAACACAAGATCTTGTTAAAATTTGGTATGATTTTTCTCCAGGAAAAAAAGCTGTTATTCTTAAATCTCAAGCCGTGTCTAAATCACAAACTGAAATACCAAGTAATGATAAAACAGCTCTCAATTGCAGTAACAACACACAGTATCAGAGAAACTTACAATCAGAGTTCAACTTAGAATCTCAGACCAACTTAGCATCTCAGTCCTGTTTAAACACTCAGTCCAGCTTAGAATCACAGTCCACAGAACCTTCTACCAATAATAATATTCCTGAAATCAATATCAAGAAACGACGTGGTAGCTTGTTGCTTGAAGCACTGAAAATCGAAGAAACTGCAAATACTAACGATAAGAATTGTCAAAAAAGTAAAACGACACCTTTGAGTCGACGACATAGTAAGAGTGTGCGTCGAAACGTCAAAGACTCGATAGAACCTTTGGCTGACTGCAACTCTGAAAATAATTCGACCAACAAAGAATCCTTGCCCTCTGTTATTGTAGTGAAAAACCCGATCATAGCTGAGTCTACAAGTTTAATGCAGAATTCTCCTCAACGCAAAGAAAGTACTCCTAAAGCGGATACCGTTGCAAAAAAAGACACCACTGAGAAATTTACACTTACTCACCAATTTGCTAAACCAACCGGCAACAATGTCAATTTCAAAGACGGGGACAAAGATAAAAGTAGCAAGGAGAATCGTGAAAAGAAGAGTTCCAAACACCGCAATAAATCTCGTTCATCTAAACGAAAAAAAACCGATAACGATCGGAATGATAAAGAGAAACCATACAACTCTAAAAAAATGGATGTAAGAAAAAAGGACCGATATGAAAGGCAGAACTTCAATAGTAATTCTAATGTTATATTTGCTTTAAACCAACATCAAGCAGGCCCAAGAAGCTATTACAGATACATTAACGATTATGATTGGCCATACTATAACGAAAGTTACAATCACTATGGCGATGTAAGAAGTAATCATTTGGACACCACATATAGCCAAGTCAACTATAATTACAGAGTTCCGGACTGGCCTTATGACACTACTACGAACTTCAGAAGAAATAAGTACCAAGTTTCTGAAGAAAGACGTTCAAAAAAAACTACCGTACCTAAAAGGAAAGAGTCCGTTCTAGACCCAAAGCAACCCCCATCTTCAAAGGCCACAGACAAAACAGATGTTACCGATACGTTAAGCAAAAAAGGGACAACACTTGACAAGCCGAGTTCGAAGCCTGCAAAACAGCCTAAAAAATATGTAGGACATACATCAAAGAATCAGACACCACCAAAGAAAATATCTCGACTAAATAATATAACAAAAACGACAAATAATGTAGAGACAACTCAAGACAGTGCCAATGGCAAAAAAAGTCCCGTTTATGTCTTCCGAGATGGCACGTTTTGCGGTATATACCATACTGAAAACCCGACTAGTCCCGACCCAGAAATGGTAGAAACAACGCAACAGAAATGGTAGAAAGGCAATGTGCATTGAAATCAGTTAATAATTTAGGAATAACGTCGGATGTTTCGTCTACCAACAATACAGAAAGAACCACTCTCACCACTAAATCTGAAAATAAAACGTCACTTTCTAAATCCGCCCGAGAACTACAGACAACGTCGCCTAGTATACGTAGAACATCAGACAAATTTAATGTCGAAAAATTTGCTCAAAACTTAAGAAAACTTGTTAATCCCCACAAAGAAAGTCGGTCTGATTTTCAAGAAGAATCGCGCGGAAATAAACAACACAAAGAGTTAGCGACGGACATTTCATCAGCAATTACGAATACGAAATCAGCAACGAAATAAAATGAACAATAACGTCACTAAGTTAATTTTTATAAAATTTACATCATGATCAATGAATGATACACCATGAAAAAAAAATGGAAATAAATTATTTTGTTATTCCGCGAACCCAGTGGAGGTTAAATTGTGCAAAATAACTTATTATCGCTAACTTTTTTTTCATGCATTTAATTTTTTTTAATTCAACACAAGTGTTTTCTACGACTTAATCCACAGAGTTCTCGGAATATCAAATTAATTTACTTCCATTTTTATTACATGAACTGCCTCAAAGTAACCCCAAATGTATTAATTTAAAAAAATGAGAGACTTGCTAGTTTGTAATTTAATGATTTCGCCTAAGAAATTGTAATAATTGACAATAAAAGTAAAACTAATTATAAGTTGTAAACTACGGTTTTTTAAAGTCGCACAAACTTTTTATTTTTCATTTATTTATAATGCACAAGTACATTACATTCTAGCCAAATATAAGACTAATAAGTAATTTACATCTCACTTAATCATATAAATAAACTAAGGAAACTAAGAATTTACCCACTATCATTGCACCAGTCACACTAACTATATTGTGTTGTGTCCGGGGCGAAGACATGTGTCTATAGTTTTAAACAACATACAGCGCATGATGAATGCGTCCCCCGGATTACAATTCAACATATCTAGCAGTATACATGATTTGATAAAAAAATAATTAAAATAAGTATTACTATAATATTGTGAAAAGCGTATCGAATGTGCAATTTGAAATTGTGTCAAGTCGGTACGTAAATTTTATTCACTGTTTAAAATTGATCTGTGATCAAACTGTTTATTACCATTAAAGTAGGTTTCGCATGTAAGCCAAGCGTCAATTCTGTTTACATCTGTTTAGAAAGTTCATACAACATTGAAGTACGAATTTTAAAAAGTAATTTGAATTTTATTGTTTAGAAAAATTGTTCTTTTTAAACTTGAAATGTTTACTTTTAAAATTCATCCGTTGTGCTAGTATCTCTAGAGAGGAAAAAACATTTTTTTTTATAAATTTACAATTTATCCAATAGAATGTCGACGTATTAAAATATATAACAACATTAAATTATCAAAACTTGTAAGCCTTTTGTGTAGTAAGTAGTTGATTCAATTTTGACGCGACAAAAAAAAAAAACAACATTAAATAACTAAAACTAGCAAACCTTTTCTTTAGTAGTTGATTCAATTTTGACGCAACAAAGCAGTCAATTGCTATTTTGAAAAATTAAAACAGCACTTCATCACTATGACGAGCAATTGATGTATAGTGCTAACAATGTAATACTAGTGTTGCATAAAGTTTATATTATTACATAAAGATAGTTTTTGTTATTTAGAAAGTTGATTTTTATAATTATATCGTTTTATGAAACATTTAGAAAGAGCACATTTCTTCACTGTTATTTATATTATTCACTTTTGTTGATTAATTTTTCCTCTTAGGCCTTTAATTGCCAAGATATACACTGTTGATTAATAAACATCTTAGGTACTGTTATGATTGTTAATTTCATTTGTTTTAAAACTGGCACGAAGTTAGCACTATGGCCACTAAATGAGGGACCTTTTGTTAAGACCAATTTGGGAAACCAATTTTTTTTTTTAATTTGTTCTGGTTTGGGTTGAGTTGAGTGCCCCAGACTTACTCCTCAGGTTGAGACAGGAAGGTGTTGTATTTTTCTGGCTTATTATTTGTGACCTAAAGACAAATTAAAAAAAAAGAAAATGATAAATTGTTATTATTATTATTAATCATTAAATGTCAAAAGAGGTCTAGCAAAAATTGTGAGCGTAATAGATTTTATGTTCCCGAGACAAATATACATATATACACACACACACACACACACACACACACATATATATATATATATATATATATATATATATATATATAGTATCCCATTGTTTTAAAATAATTGTAATAAATTTATAACACAAAGCGCCACTTTTTTTTACATCAGAAGATAACAATTTTGTGAATTAAATAAAAATTCGATACAATGTAGGCTAAAAATTTTTAAAATATTTTCATTTATCAGTTGGCGACTTTAGGGAAAAGCGATAAAGTATTTTTAACCGTTTTAAAAACACTCCTGTGATTTTGGTATCATTTTTATGAAAATAATATGTGTTTTTCAATATTGATCCATTTTCATTGTAAATTATTTCACATTTTTAAATGTACTACATATTATAATAAAATATATTTATAGTTAAAAAAGCAGAGGTCAGTTCGAAACTTGCACGTTTATTACACTATCCGATTTCAAGGAGCCTGCATCGAGGATAGGCGCGACCCCTTGTTACGGCGCCACTCTTACTAAGTCATGTTATACCTCCCTAAGTTTAGGGTTCCTTAAAATCCGATAGTTTAATAAATATTTTAATCAGAGTGACAACAAAATAAACAAAAAGTGTCAATTAAATGTATTTACAACAGTATTACGTATGTAACCTGTAAAATCACGATTTTACAGTACGGCGTATATTGAAAGTAAATAACTTGATATTTTCAGGTGTAACATTTTTTGGACCGAATTAGGTACAATTAAGCAAGCAAGCAAGCAAGCTAATAATATCTAAAGGATATTCAGAATATAATACATACATTATTCTCTAAAGTTTTATTTTTGAAACGCGATTTTTTCAGATAATCGATATGATTTCCTGTTGTCGAAATATTTTATAGATTTTTATCGGTTTAGAAATGTTACTACGATCAAAGTATCGTCTATGTTTTCCATTTTCTAATGGTTTATATCATTGTTTATATTATATAAATGATACCAGCGCAGCGCTAGCTAACTAATATGTACCTAAGTGTTTTTCAACAGGAATTTTCCCATTGTTAATTATGGAATGTTTTTAAATATTTAAAACTTAGAACTACGTTTTCTAAAGAAAATGTTATAATGTTCTTTTTTGATTTTATAAGAAAAATAAATGATGGACATGAAAAGTTTCGTGTTTTTATTTATTTGGCATTTATCGCCTCTCTTTTGTCACTAAAGGCACTACACATAAATAAATAACGCTCACACTCATTGCCCCGCACAAGGAAAACCCTGTAACGCGAGTGCTATTAACAACCATAAATTACATCCAAACTCACGAGAGAAATAAATGTAGGCCATACGAAGGCAGTAATAATGTACATGGCTGTTCTTATTCACTCACTCGCATTCAGAGCGCGACGGGAAGTGAGCGTGCCTACAGCTCCGGTACCTATCTGGAAAATAGGGAGGGTGCTGTACGTGCACCCGGGGCGGCTCACCCAAGGCACTAGCCTTACCTCAGAACCGGATGAAGTCCGTGCATATGGGCTGATCTGACGTTAGGACCTGACTGAGATGGTCTCTATGCGGGCTCGCCCGCACCTACCCTTCCCGCATAACCAAGAGGTTGATAATAAGGTGCACTATAAACAAAACTTTTGTAGAAAGATGTGGGACTGTTCCTATTGGGTGATTGTATACTTGGAAAAAAATTTGACCACGACAAATATTTTTGCTATTTAAAGCTGTAAGCGGCACAGCAACTGTTATGGAAAGGCGTGTCGCTTACCATCAGGAGCACGGCTTGTTCATCCCGTCACTTGCTATCATAATAATCTCAGTAGGCATATAGTACAAAACAAAGAAGTATAAAAAAAAGTAAGTAAAAAACGACCTTAAAAGATAGTGGAATTCCATCTATCTGCCAAGTTTTATTGAAATCGATTACCGGAAAGTGCGCGAAACCGAATTCATCACCTAGTTTAGTTGTTTGTGGAATATTTTCTTCAAATTTAAATGGGACCACTGCTGAGGTATCCTCTTTCCAACAAAAAAAATCATCAAAATCGGTTCACAAAATGTTATCGGAGTTATCGCGCTCACAAAAAAGAAAAAGTACAGTCGAATTGACAACCTCCACCTTTTTTTGAAGTCGATTAAAAACATACAGATCATGAGCAAATATGGTCGTCATCACATGGCGACATAGAGTCGAATAACAAAACACATCAAATACCAAAATACTAGACACTAAAAAAAACACGTATTGTAGAATAAGTTTTAGGTTATTCCAACCAAAGTCAAAGAATCTTTATTTCATATGTAAGCAAATAATTACACTTGAAATTTTTTTTTTATTTTTTTTTATTTATTTATTATTCATATAAAAGCATCAGAACAAAAACATTACAGTATAACATAAACTTAAGTAAGTTTTTCTGTATACCGTCAGACGTCGTACAAAAATATTTTTGTGTGTAGTGTGTGCATTGTTCATACTACTGCGTGCTGATTAATATTTGTCGTAGTGCGCGTGTGTGTGTGGTAGTCGGTCGTTAATAACGGGTGTTATTTATTATCATAATAATATATGCGCTGGACCTGAGTATTATGAAGAGGCTTAAATAATAATTAATAATATAAGTTATTTTATTGTTATGGTATATGTTAGTTATAGGTTAGTTATGTTCAATAATTGATCTTTGTTAGTATTAAATTTGATTTAAAAAGTGTGTTTTTAATTTATGTTTGATGTTTTTATCATCTAGAGAACTTTTAATATCTTTTGGAATTTCGTTTATTAGGTAAGGAATTATGTATTTTAATCTATTTTTACCATAGAGATTTCGATAACACGGTAGCACCAGCTTTTTATTGTAGACATTTCGCGTAATTATTTCACCACTGTAGGTGGATTGTAAATTTTTATCAAAGAAGTGTTCAACTAATAACATATATTTTAATTTTTCATGTACTGGAAGTATATTACAGTGGCGGAACAAGCCGCGGTTATCATCTTTGTACTTTAATTTAATTTTAGTTGGTACTATAATTTTTAATATTCTTAATTGCATTCCGTAAATTTTATCAAGATGACCTTTACAGGTTAGGCCGTAACTGGTAAGTCCATATGCAATAATTGATTCCCCAAGTGAAATGTACAGATTGCGCAATGTAGGGTAAGGTATTTTGTATTTTATAATTGAAAATTTGGCCAGAATAGCTTTCAGTTTGTTACTAACAATATCGATATGTTCAGTCCATTTCATACGACTATCTATTGTTAGTCCTAGGTATTTCTGGCTATCCACTAATGCTATATAAGGGCATTTGCAAGATGTTGAATTTTCTTTTATTAAGTGTAAGCACTGGTGTTCATGTGCAATGAGCCTGAGTTCTTTACTTGATTTGCGATTCTGGGATGAACTCACATACATAAGTTTAGTTTTATTGGCATTAAATACTAAACCAGCGTCATGCGACCAATTCATCAGGTTACAAAAGTCTATCTGCAAATTTTCTAATGCTTCATTCAGATCGTCATGAGCAGACAAAAGGCACGTGTCATCGGCGAATAAATATAAATCACATTTTTTTATTACATTTGTGACATTATTGACGTATGTCAAAAAGTGTAGGGGTCCAAGAACTGAGCCCTGCGCCGTACCATCATTGACCAACATTTTATCACTGAAAGCTTCGCCTACTTTTACAGAGTAGTAGCGTATGCTAAGATAGTTTTCACACCATTTTAGTAGCGAGCCCCTTACGCCGCATTCATCTAGTCTCTCGATGAGCACATTATGTCTTATCGTGTCAAATGCTTTGCTGTAGTCTATGAATACAATTAGAACGTGTTTCTTATTGTTGAGGTGTTCATTAACTGAATTAGTAAAGGCAGATAGCAGTTGTGTCGTAGATTTATGCGGCTGGAATCCATATTGTTTTTTCGTCAGTATATTGTTGATATTGAAATGTTTATGTATTTGAGTTGAGATATATTTTTCTATTATTTTATCAATAGTTGGCAAAATCGTGATCGGTCTGTAATTATCGTAGTTATTTTTGCTTC